TTAAATAGAAATGACATTAAAGTTGATTTAATTTGCCATAAATGCTTGTAAGTACATTTTACGGTATACTTTAAGCGTAAGACATAAGTAAATATGAAATTGCATGTAAAGATGTAGTTAAGTCCAGTTTAATTGAGTCAAAAAGTACTTCATCTATTTGCATATATGATATGATATATGATATGAAAAGTATATTTTAATTATAGAACTTAATTTTAAATAACATGCAATTCAGTGCCCAAAAACATTACATTCAGTTCACACTTAAGTATAGTATTTTTGGTAACACTTTATTTTAAGGTGTCCTTGTTACACATGTTACATGTACTTACTATTATAATAACAATTAATTATGCATTATTACATGCAAGTAACCCTAATCCTAACCATATAAGTACATGTAGTTAATTAATATTACTCAGTACTTAAGTATAATTACACTGTAACAAGGACACCTTAAAATAAAGTGTAACCTTATTTTTTATATTATTTCCATAATAAGTACACTTTTTAAACAAGGAGACAAGGTATGCTCGCACGTTTCCTTAATTAACGATAGCTGCGATAGCTGTGGCATCTTGGTATTCTGTAAAACTCTAGGATTTAGTGCCTGCAAACATCTGTAAGACAGCAGCTGGTTAATTTCTTATCCCAGTGATTCTTTGCTCAATATGCCGCCTGCTTTTTCATTTGAGACTTGTGTTTCATGTTTCTGTGACAGCGTTCCTTTGTTACATAACCAGTGCTTTTCCTGCAGGATCCAACAGGACTGGCCTTCTTAGTGCTCTCAAAGACAGCCCTGCTAGATATCCTTTCACTAAAGTGTGTGTGGGAAGAGGCGGTGCAATAGGAGTCTATTTCTGGTTTTCACACCTCAGGAACACACATGCAGAAAAGCAGCCCACACTGACTTTCTCTACATCTTCATTGCTATGCATCTGTACCCCTCTCTTTTCAATGGAAAGATATATGCTATTAAATACGGTCTCTTTGCATATCTGAGTTTGGCTTGAGAAGGAAAACAGCGAGAAAAGATCTGACTGCACAAATATGCAGAAGAGTGATTTGTATTAGCAAAGGGACGTCTCGCTGTCTTGTTCATTAGTGAGACCTGTTTCCTGCTCGTGGTCAATTATTAGCTTGTCATGCATCATTTATTGCTTCATGATAGACTTACTCTCATAAGCAAGCAAGTCAACACATGCCAGTGCCAGCTAAAACAGCTTTGCAGGGTACAAACTCCAAATTGTTTTTAGTATTTTTGAATATATCTTAATTCCCTTTAAACAAGCTAACTTCAGTTGTTAGGCAGAAATACATAACATATTATAATTCAGAAAATATATTTATGTAAATATAATCGATTTTTTTTCTTGTTTTAAGCATAAACCTTACATTTTATTCTTTAAGCATGTACCTTTTGCGCTAATCAATTCCATTCAAGATTTATTTTTTAAAAACAAGTGCTGTTGTGTCGTATATAAAGCAATACTCTTCAAAAGTTTGTGGTCAATAAGTTGTTGTTGTTGTTGTTAAATCAAATTAAAATTTAATTGATCAAAAGTCACAGTAAAAAAATGTAGTTCTACAAAATATTTCTGTTTTAAATTAATGCTGGTCCTTTGAACTTTCTATTCATCAAAAAATCCTGAAAAAAACAAAAAAAAAACATTTTATCACAGTTGCGACAAAAACTAAGCAGCACAACTGCTTTCAACATTGATAATAATAAGAAATGTGTCTTAAGCACCAAATGTCCATTGAAATGATTTTTGAAGACTGGAGTAATGATGCTGAAAATTCAGTTTCGCCGTCACAGAAATAAATTACATTTTAAAATATTAAAACAATGTTTTAATTAGTAATATTTCACAATATTACTGATCAAATAAATGGTGCGCAGAAGAGACTTCTTTAAAATTAAATAAAAATAAATAAATATACGAAATTTACAGTTTTGTTGTATTTTTGATTAAATAAATGCAGTCTTAAGAGACTTCTTTCAAAAACAATTTAAAGTCCCCATGAAATCAAAATGAAAGTTTTTTGGGTGTTAGTATCAATATGTTAGTCTTAAGGTTATCTATAAGGCAGTGTGCTCCAAAACAGTAGGCGAGAGGGAACGATTCAGACAGTGTATGCTTTTGATTGGGGCAAATGAGGTCTGGTTTCACGTTGTGTCACGGGAACCGCGGCAGCGCACACAGTCTGATCCGGACTTTGGCTCCGGTCCAGAGACGCGGTCGCACGGAGCGGATCATATGTGTGAGTCGGCATATATTAAACACTTTTAAAACTACACAGCCTCAGTATGTTTATGATCACTATTTTGTTTTACTAAGAGTTTCATATTGAATCTAGGGGGTAAACTATTAGACTGGCTGTCAAATGCGGCTTTACCGAGCTCAATGGCTCTGACCGTGCAGATATAAACAAAACGCTATTGGCTAATTTAAAAAGGGGGCGGGGCTGCTCTATGTCCCGCCCTGTCTTCCTGTTTCAGTTGAAATTACGTCACCACATAGAATAACGCTATGTGTTTCAAGGCACTTCAGGGGACCTTTAAAAAATCTTATTGACCTCAAACTTTTAAAAGGCAGTGTAAATTAAACTCTTCATAGATGCGCCTTATTGACAAAAATCAGTGCTGTTTATTTTTGCAGTATATATTAGTACTTGTAGAAAACGGGTACTTAATGGAATTTTAAAAACTAAACGTTTGTGTGCATTTTCTATTGATCATGGCAGCAGTGATTCATCAAATGACAAAGAAAAGAGCTCCGCCGGGCACATATCCAGAAGTGCGGTGTAGTCGAGCACACCTTCAGCATTTTAAAGATGCGATTCGGGTGTCTGGATTGCAGTGGGGGGATGACGCTCTACAGACCCAGGATTTCTAGTGTGCTTGAGTTCTTTGATACGGATCCATTTGCTGAAGCTGCCAGTCAGCTTTTATAATAAGTGGATGAAGTAATGCATGTATAGATTTCTATTTTCCTTGACGGTTGTACTGTTCTGGAAGTGGTGGTGTGCTTTTTCTCCGTCTGGTCCATCGTGGGACTGTCAGGCTTCCATACCTACCTGATCAGCTCCAATCAGACCACCAATGAAGATGTGAGTACCTCTCATTCACTTTTAATGCTTTATCTCAATATTCATTAACTAATCAAATATGCTGCTGTGATAATAGTCGGTGTTTTAGAATAATACACCCAGGACTGTATGTTACATTGATCATCAAGACAAAATCCTACAAACGGTCCAGATTTAACAGCCTTCACGCTGCAAATGCACGTCAGATTACGTGTGAAGAACATGTTTCTCTTTAGGTATGCAGTTGTCCAATCCACTGTGAGGTTTTAGATCACACTTTATTTAAAGGACCAGTTCTCACTATTAACTATGACTTTCGCCTCAATTAACTCCTAATTTGCTGCTCATTAATAGTTGGTAAGGTAGTTGTTAAGTTTAGGTATATGGGATTAAGGGATCTAGAATAAGGCATTAATATGTGCTTTGTAAGTACTAATAAACAACCAATATGCTAGTAATATGCATGCTAGTAAGCAACTAGTTAACAGTGACAGTTGGTCCTTAAACTAAAGTGTTATTTATTTTTTCTCCAGAACTTCATCTTACACACTACTGTTCAAAAGTTTGGGGTTGGTAAGATTTTTAAAATGTTTTTAAAGTTTTTTATGTTTACCAGTAGGGATGTAACGATTCACTCAACTCACGATTCGATTCACGATTTTTTTTTTACAAAATGAGATTTAAGACAAATTATAAGTTAAATGTGTCCTATTATTATTGCTTGAACAAAATGCTGCAGATTTCTTAGTGAAATTGAAATATAACACTATAATAATATACTAATATAGCACTTGCATATTATTGCTCTTTTGTTGGTTTTGATTGCTTCTATTGTCCTCATTTGTAAGTCGTTTTAAATAAAAAGTCTGCTAAGTGACAAAATTGAAATATAATGTAAATGTAAATAACAAAACTAAATTGAAATTTTAAAACAAGCCCCAAATCAAATAAATAAATAACACAAATAAAATAAATCTCTTCATATAAACAAAATAAGGCTTTGTCTGTGCTCTTTGCATTTAAAATTAGAGGCAACCACTGCATTTTAATCATGATCCAAACAAAGATGCTGCATACATGCAACATGAGCAGTTTTTAAACTAAATTAGATTGTATAGTTTCGAAATTTGAAGCAAAAACAGAATGGTTTGACTTCAGTTTTGTGAAACTATAAATAAAAATATCTGCATGAAACAGCAAAGCTGAATGAGACGCAGATGCACTCTCTGCCAGCAGGTGGCGCTTAAAACGTTTCCTTGCTTTCCGCTGTAAACAAAGGAGCGCTGCACATATGAACTTTAATATGCATTATACAGAGGCAAGATGAAAAGAAAAAATACCATCTAAACTTTTCTAAAGACAGTAAGTTCCCCGCAGACATGGATTCATATAAACTCCTAACCCTAGATGAATCGTGATTTGTTTAGCATCTCAACCGATTTGAATCGTCACATATTTGAATCGATTTTCAACCGGCTCGCGGTTAATTGTTACATCCCTACTTACCAAGGCTGCATTTATGTGATTAAAAATACAGTAAAACAGTAATATTGTTACAATTAAAATTACCATTGTGTATATTAAAAAAAAAAAAGTAAAAAAAATAATTTATTCCTGTGATGTCAAAGTTATATTATGAGCAGCCATTGCTATATGATTCTACAGAAATCTTTCTGATATGCTGATTTTATTCTCAAGAAACATTTCTTATTGTTATCACGGTTTAAAACGGTCGTTCTATTGGAAACTGTGATACTTTTTTTTCAGGATAATTTATTTTGGATTATTATAAATTCACAAGAAGAGCATTTGTTTGAAATACAATTTAGTCACTTTTGATCAATATAGTGATTTTTTGCTGAATAAAAGTATTTAAAAAAAAAAAAATCTTACCGACCCCTAAACTTTTGAATGTATGTGAAACATTTTTTTTTAGAAAGATGTTTTTAGAACGATGGCGACTGATGGATATCAGTTCAGTATGTAAAATATTGTTTGCTGTTTATCATAAATATGCAAGAAGTAAACAGATTTGTCATTCCATTTTTGAAGGAGCAAAAATATATGTTCACGGCCATTAAGAAATATTTATGACCAGTACATTTCCTCAAATCACCCGACCGCAGGTTCATTTTGGACCCTGCATACAAAGTTTATTTCAATTTTTACATTTGTGAACCAAGATCAAAAGAGACACTCGGAAAGTCTGACAAGCGTTACAGGAGCACTTCAAAAGACTGGGTTTTGAAGATCAATGTGTTTGGAGGTATTTCTCACCGTAACGCCTAGCAGGAAGCAAAACATAATCAAGCTAAAACTCTTTTCCATCTTCACCCTGGTTCGTCGTCTCTGAGCGTCTCGCTGTCTGCTCTGATGTTGGCAGCTTGTCCCTCTCAGCTACTGTAGTTCTCATCACTGTTTCAGATCAAAGGTTCATGGTCATCCAAACGAGGCAAAGGCAACTACAACCCCTACAGCTACGGAAACTTCATCACCAACTTCTGCGCTGCACTGTGTGGACCTCTGCCACCGAGGTGAATGTAATGTCTTTGTTCAATGTCTGGTCAAATGGAATACAGTAGACTGCATTACAGCATACTGCACAGTATATTAGGGGTGGGACAATATATCGATATGGCGATATATCGTTGTCCTCCATGCGATACGAGAATCGATATCTGGCTCTATATATGTTTATGGACATAAAAGGAGATGGCGATAAAAAAACTGTCCCCGAAACAGCTATCAGCGTGGACTGTAGGCATCGATCACGTTATTATTGCAGAGCACATATTGAGTCCGTGAGTAGCCTAACCTCTCCACTCGGATCTCAGGTGAATTTCCCTCACTATATGAGTGAGAGAGAGCGGCGCCGGCGCGTCCAGTTTTATGTCAACAAAACTGGATGCTCTCCCTCTCTCTCAGATATTACAAGTGCGCGTTAGGGCACCGACCGGCAGAAACATCTGCACCTATGGCATGGACGACGAAACAAAACCTCGTCAGAGCCGTAATGCGGCGCAGAAGTGTGCAGTGCAGGGCCGTTTCTAGGCATAGGCGAGCTAGGCGGTCGCCCTGGGGCGCCACCAGCTGAAGGGGCGATGAATGAGCGCACGTACTGGCACTTTTAGCAAGGTTGTGATAAAGAGTGGCACGGTCACCCTGAAATATGACTGCCGCCCCCACTGGATCCCCCAACATTATTGGGCTAGAGTACTGTCAATCTGACGATGCCTGTATGCCACTAGATCAGAGTGCTGTCAATTGCTGCCTGATTGTTGCATGCAAAGTTTGCATTTGGAGCACTCAACAACGCCATTAGATCAGTGGGCTGTCAGTGCTTTGGCAAGGTAACACTTTTTTAAAAGGGAATAGGGATTTCGCCTAGGGCGTCAAATTGGCTAGAAGCTCCGTTTTTATGATGAGAGGAGAGGAAAGGTTGAGAAAGCACTCCAGGTAAATTTTGAAATGTACCAGGTTTATATATAGGCTATATATAAAGTTGATAAGCAGTTAAATGTGTTGGTTTACAACACATAAGCTTTTAGTAAGTCCAAAAATAAAATGATTAATTTTCTTAGCATGTTAAATTTGATTTACAGAACTTTTGTGCTGCTTTCTAACAGTTTGGACTTGAATAAAGAGAGAAAACTTGCACTTAACCTATATACTGCTTACTGCCTTTAAGAAAAACAAGACAACCGTTTTTAAAGAGTGTTATATTTCTGTTACCTAATTATGTAGCATGTTTACATTTCTGTGATGCCCAATTACAATCTTGGAAATAAATAACACTGCAAAAGTAATTTAGCTTAGGATGGGCAATATGTCACATTTGATATTAAAAAGTTAATAAATGGTTACATCTTTAGCAAATGTTGTGATGCATAAATTAATTTGATTTAAAAAATACTGAGTTGAGGTTTTAGGCTTTCATTTAAATTGTAATAAAATGTATATAATTTTAATATTAGCTATCGGCCGTAACATGAAAGCAATTATTGGCTTATCGGTATCAGACAGAAATTTAAAATAGGTGGATCCCTAAATGTTGCATTTTTAATTTATTATTAATATGTAGATAGATTACTACATTTTAATCTTACGGGATTAGGATCGACATTAGGGTGAGTAAATAAAGAATTTTCTTTTTTTGGTGAACTATTCCTTTCATGTCTCTAGCAGAAATATATAATATGTGACCCTGGAGCACAGTCTTAAGTCTCTGGGGTATATTTTTAGCAATAGCCAAAAATACATTGCATGGGTCAAAATTATAGATTTTTCTTTTATGCCAAAAATCATTAGGATATTAAGTAAAAATCATGTTCCATAAAGATATTTTGTAAATTTCCTACCGTAAATATATCAAAACTTAATTTTTGATTAGTAATATGCATTTTTAAGAACTTCATTTGGACAGCTTTAAAGGCGATTTTCTCAATATTTTGATTTTTTTTGCACCCTCAGATTCCAGATTTTCAAATAGTTGTATCTCGGCCAAATATTGTCCTCTCCTAACAAACCATACATCAATGGAAAGTTTATTTATTCAGCTTTCAGATAATGTACAAATCTCAATTTCAAAAAAATGGACCCTTATATGACTGATTTTGTGGTTCAGAGTCACATATGTTAAACTTTATTACTTAATTTAAGCAAATCACCTCTGCTGTTGTTGGTTGACAAATCTAGTAAGTTATTAATATGCATAGAGAAAAGTATTCCAAAGCTACAGCAAAAATTCCTATAACAAAGCTTTGTCCTTTACATCATTCATATCTCTGTATCAGAGAATTTAATTGCAGTCCACAGAAAAAGTCCATTTCAAATAAGATATTAATCAGCTTTCTCAGAAAATCATTATCCAGGCATGTTATCAGCCGAGGGATCCATGCTGATTTTGTGAAAAGATTGGTGACCTCAGCATGCTTCTCACTCAAGTCATTTCAATATAAGAGGCAAAAACCACTCCGGGAAGTGTGAATATCTTAAGACAACCGAGGAATGTTCCCATCCTGATTCAGATGGTGCGTGAGGAGGCTTGCTGATGTCAAAACCTGCTCACACACCCACACAAGAGTTCCGCACGCCATTAATGACTTTCTCATGGAGCCAGGAACACAAAGCAGAAGTGGGCACAGCATCACTGGCTGCCATCTGCTCTGTGTGTGGGCATGTTGAGTTGGAGGAGGACTCCGTGCGCGCGCACGCACACACACACACACACACGTACAGATCCTCTTCTCTCCGCCTCCCTCACCCACGTTCCCTGACTCACAGTCAGAATCTATCATCCACTTCCTTTGTCTTTGCAGCTTGATTGACAGAAGAGGTTTTGTCCAACCAGACACCCCGCAGCCTGCGGCCCAGACAAATGGCTCCGGCGCCTGCCCCTCCAATCAAGTCCAGAGTCACATGGTAAGACGGCCGACCTCTGACCTCTGTGTGTATGTGTGTGTATTGTGCTGGAGCCAATGAAGCCATTTATATTCAAACCACTTCGAGGTTTCAGCAAAGCTGTGAACAGCGATTTGAAATATATAGTGGAGTCCAGAAGTCTGAGACCAGACTGAAAATCTGGAATTCAAAGTTCCCAGAGACTGAGTGCTGTTGTTGATAAAGGGGGACACACTAAAGATACATATTCATTTTTCAACTGGCAAGATTTTTTGGTAACACTTTGCGATAAGGTTCCATTAGTTAATGTTTGTTAATGTATTAACTAAAATGAACAAACAATGACAATGCTTGTTAGTTCATGTTAGTTCACAATGCATAGTAACAACTTTTGATTTTAATAATGCATTAGTAAATGTTGAAATTAACGTTAATTAATAAATGCTGTAGAACTAATATTAACTAATGAACCTTACTGTAAAGTGTTACCGGTTTTTTTTTAAATGTTTTTGAAAGAAGTCTCTTATTCTCCCCAAGGCTGCATTTATTTGATCAAAAATAAATTAAAACTGTCATATTGTGAAATATCATTGCAATTTAAAATAATTTTCTATTTTTATTGTAGTAATTTTTCAACTCAAAAAGGGAAATATTTATGACGAATTATAACTGGTTATGATTCATAATAAATTATATATTTTCAAATCTAATTTAAACTTGAATTTTCAGCAGCCATTACTCCAGAAACCTATTCCAGTCTCACATTATCCTTCAGAAATGATTCTGTTATGCTGATTTAATGCTTTAAGAATCATTGCTTAAGATTTCTTATTATTTCTGTTGAAAACAGTTGTGCTGCTTTTTATTTATTTTCTTTTTTTGTTTGTATTTTGTTTATATAGTGTTTATATTATTTTATGTTTATATTTGTTTGTTTGTGTTTGCTTATTTTTTTATTTTGTGTAAACTGTGAATCCAGAATTCTTTGGTGCATAGAAAGTTCAAATGATCAGCAATTATTTGCATTATATACATTTTTTCTTTACAGTTTTTATTGCCACTTTTGATCAATTTAATGCATCCTTGCTGAATAAAAAGATTGTTTAAAAAAAACAATTACTGGCCCCCAAATTTTGAATGGTTGTACAATAATAATAAAAACAACAATTTCTAATTGTTTTCGAACACTTTTTCTAATTTCTAACATTTTCAACGCAAATATTTTCACTCAAATTGTCATGATTTGTTGAATCTACATCGACACAGCAACATTTATGTGATTGGGAGACGATGTGTAATAAATAATAATAATAAAAGTGTAATAAAAGTCATACATTTACTCAGCATGGATGTGTTAAATTGTTCAAAAATTACAAGATATATTTTTTCCCTTCATCTTAATGGTCCAAAAATAAGCTTTTTCCATTAAGAAAATTATTATTTTGTATTTCTTTCTTGATTTTGAAGTGAGATATGTCCTCAACGTGTTCTTTACAGGTTTGGTGATATTCACCCAGATATTATTAACTTCTAACTTCTTTCTCTGTCTATCTTTACACTTTTGGTCAGCACACTCTCTAAACTTTTTAATCTTCTAATAATAATCGTTTAGTCATTCTAACCACCAGAGACTGGTCTTATCTGACCCAGGGCTCCAAAACAACAAATAACCCTACAAATGTGTGACAAAATTTCACAATCTAGTTGCCATTTGTATATAGATTCAGAGTATGATATTTCTGCACAAATCCATCCGTCACTTGGTTGCTTGACATGACCATGAACAAAACCACGCCAGCATCTAAAACACAACATATGCTGGTGACCAACAGGGAAGAGTCTCTATGATACTGCACAGTTCATTTATATCCGTAGCACAACAGTCATTAGCAGTTTGGAGCCCTGGGAACATTTTATTCTTTGTTGGGTCTGACTTCCTCTCGGCTTTCCCTTTTCTCTCTGTCCTTCATCCTTCCTCCCAGTGTGCTCAAGACCAGTGCATTCAGAGCACCAAA